TTTTATGTGTGTAAAACACCACTGTGTATGACACCATGTTTTATGTGTGTAAAACACCACTGTGTATGACACAATGGTTCACAGAGTTCCACAAGCTGCACAACTTCTAGCAACATGTCCACTGACTGTACATTTATATATATATTATAAAACAATAGTAATAAAAAAAATTTTGTATTGTTTGTGTAAACAAGTTTTGTAAACAATATATTGATAATTATGTTTGTGCACTTATTGTGTTGTATACAACGAGTGTATATATGTACATTGCACCTTACTTTGGACTCACAGGCCACATATGTGAAAAAATAAAATAGTGAAAAATCAAGAAACCTTTGAATACAAGTAAACCAAAGTTTACCAGGTGAGCAGCAGTTGCCGCTGTTGCCATATTCGGCTCATTTTCTGCCAACTTCACGCCTCTATCTCGGTAAGTACTGATGGCAATTTTTTTTTTTTTGGACTAAAACAATCAGGAAATAATCTTAACATTTTCATAAGAAAAAATAATTTTTTATTTTTTATTTTTTTTGAATATGTTTCGACAGCAGGAGACACTTCAGGATTTGGGGTTTCGACAGTCAAGGGTTAAGAGAAAAATGCTGTTAGATTACTTCGTGTAAGATATACTGAAGAATTTATGGGAAAAATAAGGTTCCATTCCTGGGAACCCAAAAACGCCAAACAACTTTTTTATAGACCTCCAGATCTTACAAAAATAAAAGTGAATATGTAATTGTTGTTCACTGTCATGATGTATTATGTTGTTTTTACTGCTTAAGACTACAAAAATAATATTTCTTACCTTAAATTGTGGGTGCTGGTGTTTGTGGATGATTGTGGAGAGTGGAGAGTTATGTTGTGGTCCTACTGGGCTGAGGTGGATGGTAGATTGTGGATGATTGTGGAGAGTGGAGAGTTATGTTGTGGTCCTACTGGGCTGAGGTGGATGGTACAAGTTCTGGTGGAAACATAAACACACATGCAGTTTAATGTGATCCTTTATTGACAACATTTTGCCCACATAGTGGGCTTTTTCAAGTCACACACAGATCTGTGTGTGACTTGAAAAAGCCCACTGTGTGGGCGAAACGTTGTCAATAAAGGATCACATTAAACTGCATATGTGTTTATGTTTCCATTGTGTTGGCAAGACAGTGATGGAGTGAATGATGGTGAAAGTTTTTCTTTTTCGGGCCACCCTGCCTTGGTGGGAATCGGCCAGTGTGATAATAAAAAAAAATAAATTATTTTCAGAAGCTCTGGTACTGAAGTCGATGGTTGTACTGGAGTGTGCATAAATTCTGTAATGGAGTTCTGGGCTATTTTACCCTACAGTACATTATACAACTGACAGTAAGACATCAGCTGCTCTAGACACTGTTTCAGAGCACTGTTTCTAGATTTGCCAGGGTCCTCTTCAGTGAAAAAGTCTAATTTTAAATCAGTGAGTCAAGTCAGTCAGTAAATCAGTCATGTCAGTCAGTTAAGTCAGTCAAGTAAGTTAGTAAGTCAGCCAGTCAGTAAGTCAGTGAAGTAAATCAGTAAGTTAGTCAAGTAAATTAGTAAGTCAGTCAGGTCAGTCAGTCAGGTCAGTCAGTCAGGTCAGTCAGGTCAGTCAGTCAGGTCAGTCAGTCAGGTCAGTCAGTCAGGTCAGTCAGCCAGGTCAGTCAGGTCAGTCAGTCAGGTCAGTCAGGTCAGTCAGGTCAGTCAGTCGGTTGGTCAGTCAGTCAGTCAAGTCAGTTATATCATCACACAAACTCGTATATTTACCTCATTCTTTTTAATTGCATAACCTTCATTAGGGTCATAGGTTCTCACTATATCCACCACACTCGAGCCACTTTTAACCCTTTCAGGGTCCAAGGCCCAAATCTGGAGTCACGCACCAGTGTCCAAGATATTTCAAAAAAAAAATTTGTTATTTTTTCTTATGAAATCGTAGAGAATCTTTTCGTGAAGGTAATAAAACAAAAAGTATGAAAATTGGTGGAAAATTGACGAAATTATGCTCTCGCGAATTTTGATGTGTCAGCGATATTTACGAATCGGCGATTTTGCAGACTTTGACTCCCATTTTAGGCCAATTACATTATTCCAATCAACCAAATTCTTAGCTATTTCACTAGTATTACTTCTATTCTATCGATTGAGCACAAGAAATCGCCAAGTCAACTGTTTCAACTACAAAATAAAGTGATCGGAAATTGTTAATTTGGCCAATTTAACACAAAGTTCAAAATATTCCAATTTCAAAATAGGGTCCAGAATGAACAATGTAGGCATTCCTGGCACTAAACTAACATTTCCTCTGTTCATTAGTTATGTTTTGAGGCTTTACAAATAAATTCCATTTTGATTTTTTATTCACATAATGAATTTTTATTCACACCAAAAAATAGAAGATTTACTGTTATGCAATACTGTAATAATTGTATAAATATCATCACCATATTTGTGAATGTATATTAGACCCACCAGCTGATGTGTATTAGACGTGTGAGGTCGTTTGTTTACTCTTGAATATCGGCAAAAATTTAACATTTCCGCTACTTTGAGCTCAGTTTCAAGCCATTTCCAATGCTAAAACCAATCAAAATCATCTCTATTTCTGTAATGTCTTCCATTCTATCAAATGAGACCAAGAAATCGCAAATACAACTATAAAAAACATACGAAAAAACACTGCAAAGTTGCTGTTTTAATCGAAAAATCATGATTTCATTTTTTTTCTCTCATTATGCACAGTGTGCTGCAGGATCTGTTTTATGTGGTGCACACATACCACATAGATGTATTCTCTCATATCTAGGCCCAAATGTACCACTCACAGTTTATCAGAGTGAGCTGAGCTCATGGCGTAGATCTACGGTTTGGACCCTGAACATAAAGCCGTAGATCTACGGGACGGACCCTGAAAGGGTTAACCCTTTGAGGGTCGCCAAGCCCTCTCAGAGACTTGTTCTCAGGGTCGCCAAAATTTCAAAAAAAAAAAAAAAATTATTTTTTCTTATGAAAAGATAGAGAATCTTTTCCCGATCATAATGACACCAAAAGTATGAAATTTGTTGGAAAACTTATGGAATTATGCTCTCGCAAAGTTACCGGTCTCGACGATGTTCACACATCAGCGATTTTGCCCACTTTGAGCCCTATTTTCGGCCAATTCCAGTGTACTAGTCGACAAAAATCATAACTATTTTGCTAGAACTCCATTTTTTCTATCGAATGAGTACAAGAAACCACCCATTTACCGATTTCAACTATCCATTAAAGTGGTCAGAATTTAGCAATTTTGCCAATTTCACACAAATTTCAAAAGATGCCAATTTCCAAATAGGGTCCAGAATAAACAAGAAAGACATTCCTGGCACTAAAATAACATTTCCTCTGTTCATTAGTCACATCCCCAGGCCCCTCTTATATTTTCTTTTTGCTTTCCACTTTGAATTTTTATTCTCACAAAAAATAGAAGATTTGCTGCTATGCAGACTACTGTATTAGTGTAGAAATGGTATAAATAATGCTAGCACACTTGTGAAAGAATATTAGATTCACCAGTTGACGTATATTGGACACGTGGCATGATTTGTTTACTTTTGAACTTTGGCAAAAATCGAACATGTCTGCTAATTTGAGCTCAATTTCAAGGTACTTTTCATTAGGAAACCAATCAAAATCATCTCAATTTCTGTAATATGTCTTCCATTCTATAAAATATGACCAGGAAAACTAGAATACAACCATAAATACCATACGAAAATACAGTGGACCCCCAGTTTACGATCAGCTCCCAATGCGACCAATTATGTAAGTGTATTTATGTAAGTGCGTTTGTATGTGTATGTTTGGGGGTCTGAAATGGACTAATCTAATTCACAATATTCCTTATGGGAACAAATTCGTTCAGTACTGGCACCTGAACATACTTTTGGAATGAAATAATATCGTAAACCGGGGGTCCACTGTACAGTGCAAAGTCACTGTTTTAAACCAAAAACACGGTCAAAGCTTTTTTTTCTCATTACGCACTGTGTGCTGCAGGATTTTTTTATACTGTGCACACTGACCACATAGACCCATTCTTTCATATGCAGGTCTACCAGCTTTCTCTTGCTAGATTTGAGGGCACTAGAATTTATGCGTACTAGTACGTCAAAAACCCTGGCGCATAAGCCGTACTAGTACGGCTGAAACCCCAAAAGGGTTAAGCTCATCTAATATCCCAATTTTCTTTGCAACTCCAAGACTTAAACGCTTAATCCTTTTCTTGCCACTTTCAGGAACATTTGTATGCTTACTGGGTGCCATGATTACTTGGCAGATACAAGATATGGCAATTAAAAGATCAAAACACAATCCACACAGCTGGCTGCTAGGAGAGAAGGGTCCTATATGTGCATGAACTAAAGGCTGGGACAAGGGTGGCAGGGAATGGCGGTAGGTCTCCCCCGTTGACTCAATGGTCTAACCCACAGCCTAAGTTGGGAAAATATCCTGTGGGCGACACTCAAAATTTTTTCCCCTCCCACAAAACAAACTGTTAATTTTACAAGTGTTGTATAAAATTATGCCGCAATTTTTCAATAGTGTAATAACCAAAACATGCCAAATAAATCCGTGTAATATAAGGGTCTACTGTATTAACAAACATTGTCTTTCAGTCGACAGCAGGATTCAAACCAGTACACACTGTATCAAAGCACATAGTACTTTCTCCACTCAGCCAGATCAATACACTGTTTGTTAAAAAAAATTCTGCCCATTTACAAATTGTTAAGAAATTCAATGTTAATATTGTTAACAGGATAATAATAGTTAAAAGCAATATAGATCAATAACAAAAATGACCTGTAAAGAATAAAGTCACAATACTGTTACTGGAACAATACACAAATATCCTGCACATAGGAGACAGAAACTAAGATGACAGTGCAGTAAGACGGTATATTAACCGTGGTCCAACTTGGAACATTAACCAATCACAGTGTAAAACTTACCTGTATTCTCTTTCTTGTAAAAGTAGCAGAGGATCGACCCCGGCCGGCTTAGCGATGGGTGTGATGCGGATGGTCTTGCCACCCAGTGTGGGTACGTGTGTTGGTGCAGTACTCTGGGGTGGTACCTGCACTCAAGGAAACACAACATTTACTCTACAACACTCTTACCATAAACTCTGTGTTGAAATATTATAATAAACTCTCAATTTTAATGATCCTTGAGTTAATGGCCCTTGGTTAAATGGACCACAGTCACAAGTGGTAGACCACAGTCACCAGTGGTAGACAACAGTCACTGGTGGTAGACCACAGTCACCAGTGGTAGACCACAGTCACTGGTGGAAGACTGGTAGACCACAATCACCAGTGGTAAACTGGCAGACCACAGTCACCAGTGGTAGACTGGCAGACCACAGTCACCAGTGGTAGACTGGCAGACCACAGTCACCAGTGGTAGAATGGCAGACCACAGTCACCAGTGGTAGACTGGCAGACCACAGTCACCAGTGGTAGACTGGCAGACCACAGTCACCAGTGGTAGACTGGCAGACCACAGTCACCAGTGGTAGACTGGCAGACCACAGTCACCAGTGGTAGAATGGCAGACCACAGTCACCAGTGGTAGACTGGCAGACCACAGTCACCAGTGGTAGACTGGCAGACCACAGTCACCAGTGGTAGACTGGCAGACCACAGTCACCAGTGGTAGAATGGCAGACCACAATCACCAGTGGTAGACTGGCAGACCACAGTCACCAGTGGTAGACTGGTGGACCACAGTCACCAGTGGTAGACTGGTGAACCTCAACAATCATTCCAGACCATGGAGCTAAACTCTTCTCTAGGCTGAGGGACTGACCACCTCCAATACTATTTCTCCAAGGTTGGTGAACTGATTACATAATCTTTACTTCACTACCACACCTGCTGCCTCTGTATATGACTGAAGAAGCTTACTGTACAAGTGAAACATTTCAACAGTAAAGATACCCATCTGTTGTACATGTGTCTTACTTATCAATACAGAAGAGGCCCACATCTCCAGAACCTCACACACTATCTGTGGCAACTACAGGCAGGTCTCGCTTATACAGCAGGTTAGGTTCTGGGCTACTGCTGTACAGGCGGGCCCTGCTTATACAGCAGGATGGCTCCAGGCTACTGCTCTACAGGAGGGCCCTGCTTATACAGCAGGATGGCTCCAGGCTACTGCTGTACAGGAGGGCCATGCTTATACAGCAGGATGGCTCCAGGCTACTGCTCTACAGGAGGGCCCTGCTTATACAGCAGGATGGCTCCAGGCTACTGCTCTACAGGAGGGCCCTGCTTATACAGCAGGATGGCTCCAGGCTACTGCTCTACAGGAGGGCCATGCTTATACAGCAGGATGGCTCCAGGCTACTGCTCTACAGGCGGGCCCTGCTTATACAGCAGGATGGCTCCAGGCTACTGCTCTACAGGAGGGCCCTGCTTATACAGCAGGATGGCTCCAGGCTACTGCTGTACAGGAGGGCCCTGCTTATACAGCAGGATGGCTCCAGGCTACTACTGTACAGGAGGGCCATGCTTATACAGCAGGATGGCTCCAGGCTACTGCTCTACAGGAGGGCCCTGCTTATACAGCAGGATGGCTCCAGGCTACTGCTCTACAGGAGGGCCCTGCTTATACAGCAGATTAGATTCTGGGCTACTGCTGTAAAGCAAAACATCGCTGTAAAGTGAAATGTAGCTTTCTCTCACTTTCAAATGCATATAAAAGGCTAGTAATATGTTTATGCTATACATGTATATATTAACCCTTAAACTGTCCAAACGTAGATCTACGTCCACGTGTGGGGGGTTTTGAACGTAGATCTACGTCCACGTGTGGGGGGTTCCGAACGTAGATCTACGTTTTTTTTCCATGCTTTCAAATGGGGAAAATCAAGGTCGGAGAGCTACACACGTGAACGTAGATCTACGTTTGGACAGTTTAAGGGTTAAGTGAGCAACACAGCTAGGACTAAAAAATGCAAATATGGTACACACATTTCTTACCTTAAAATATTTCCTTCCTTAGCCTATAGTGAGTGGTGAATATATTTATTGTAGCAAGTCTAAATAAATGAAGAATGTGCATAATTGAAAACCGCTGCATTAGCGAAATGCTGTAAAACGAAGTGCCATAAAGCAGGGCCCTCCTGTATTAAAGTTCAAAATCATGAAATAAACCTGAAGTTACAGCTAAAGATGTATGAGCTTTATACAGCAAGTCCTCACTCAGTGTCGTTGACGGGTTCTTGGAAACTGCAATTTTAAGCAAAACAATGTATAACAAAACCAATTTTACCATATGCCAATTGATATAAATATCAGGGCTGCACAGGGCATATTTAGCACTAATTGCAACACAGCTAAATCACGGAATAAATGTTGCAGAGTGAAAACTGTAAGGAGTGCCATCTACCACCAGGTGGTTCAACAATAAATGTACAAACTCCATATAGACAGCGGCCCCGGCCGGGAATCAATTTTTTTTCTCATCAATGTTATAAGACAACAATGTTAAGTGAGGACTTACTGTACATGACTTAAAAATGGTGCAGTAATATTTTGTGAAGAAAATTATAAAATAAGAGAATACACAAATAACCTTCACACAGGACAAAGAAACTTACAAAAGCATTTCTGTCTGACTCAGACCATCAACTAGTGACACACACACTGATACTCAGACCATCAACTAGTGACACACACACACTGATACTCAGACCATCAACTAGTGACACACACACTGATACTCAGACCATCAACTAGTGACACACACACACTGATACTCAGACCATCAACTAGTGACACACACACACTGATACTCAGACCATCAACTAGTGACACAATGATACTCAGACCATCAGCTAGTGACACAGTGATACTCAGACCATCAACTAGTGACACAGTGATACTCAGACCATCAACTAGTGACACAATGATACTCAGACCATCAGCTAGTGACACAGTGATACTCAGACCATCAACTAGTGACACAATGATACTCAGACCATCAACTAGTGACACAATGATACTCAGACCATCAACTAGTGACACAATGATGCTCAGACGATCAACTAGTGACACAATGATACTCAGACCATCAACTAGTGACACAATGATACTCAGACCATCAACTAGTGACACAATGATACTCAGACCATCAACTAGTGACACACTGATACCCAGAACATCAACTAGTGACACACTGATACTCAGACCATCAACTAGTGACACAATGATACCCAGAACATCAACTAGTGACACAATGATACCCAGAACATCAACTAGTGACACAATGATACCCAGAACATCAACTAGTGACACACTGATACTCAGACCATCAACTAGTGACACAATGATACCCAGAACATCAACTAGTGACACAATGATACCCAGAACATCAACTAGTGACACAATGATACTCAGACCATCAACTAGTGACACAATGATACCCAGAACATCAACTAGTGACACAATGATACTCAGACCATCAACTAGTGACACAATGATACTCAGACCATCAACTAGTGACACAATGATACCCAGAACATCAACTAGTGACACACTGATATACAAACAATGAGAGAGATGACTGAAGCTGACCTGAGGTCTTGGTATAGTGCCTGGTAGAGGACCAGTTACTACTGGTTGAGAAGTTATAACCCCAGGCAGTGGTGGTGGTGGTGGTGTGTGTGGTGGACCGGTGCCGTTGTATGCCGCTCGCACTCCTGTCATCAGCCCTACTGAAATCATGTCTCTGTTATGAATTTATAACATGAAAAAGCAATATTTACAACTATTAAATTATACAGGCATAAAATTATTTTTTTTAGCATGCTGGCCATCTGCCACAAAGGCAGGACGAGCCAAAAAAGAAACACTTTCACCATCATTCACACTATCACTGTCTGACCAGAGGCAAGTAGATATGATAGTATCTATATTAGTTTTCTTAACACACCAGACATCTCGCTCTGAGACAGGGCGACCCAAAAACAAAAATACTTTAAAAAATAAACCATGGAACAGATGGGGTTAGAACCCATGGCTAGTGAGTTGTAAACTCCAGGTCCAGCGGCTTATGTACTGGCTTGCAGTTTTACGACTCACTTGCTATGGGTTCTAATCCCACCCATTTTGTGGTTTGTTTGCAATCGTGTTAATACAAGCTAAAAAATATACACTTGCCATCATTTGTTCAATAGCTCTCCTGCCAGAAGTGAACAAATGTCATAATTTAACCCACTCAGTGACGTAACCCTTGAAATTAAAGGTTATGTCACTGTTGCAATTTTTTGAGGAAAAATAATAATTTTATCTTGTAAAATGACAGAATCTTTTTCTAAAGGTAATGACACCAAAAATGCAAAATTTGATGGGAAACTTGTGGAATTATGCATGCACAAAGTTGAAGATCAGGGAACACTTTACACAACTGTGATTTAACATAATTTGAGGCCTATTTTAGGCCAATTCCATTGCTCAAACTGAACCAGTTTTTGGCTTTTTCACTAGAGTACCCATTAGTCTGTAATCTTGCCAATATTAAACAAAATTCAAGACATTCCAATTTAAAAACTGAGTCCAAAATAATTACTGTAGACATTCCTGTCACTAAAGTAACCTTTCTTCTCTTTAGTAATTGTGTCCCCAGGCCTTTCCTATATAACACTTGTCCTCCATTTTGAATCAATCACACAAAAAGGTCAAAGTTTACTCTATTTTTCTAATAAAATATAACTATGAATGATTGGTCATAATTTAGGTCATCCAAATATTTGAAAGAGACGGTAAAAGTCCATAAATAGACAATGAAGGGAAGAAGAACTCTGTCCTTCCTAGGGAAAATTGTCAAATATTTAACATTTCCTCTGCTTTGAAGTATTTTTCTGGCCATTTCTGCCCTTAAAGGGACCACAATCATCATTATTTTGTTAGTATATCTTCTGGTCTATCAAATAATACCAAGACATTGCCAATAAAACCATAAAAACCGCCCTAGAAAATACCTCAAAGTCGTTATTTTAATTCAAAAACAAGGTCAGAGGTTAGTTATTCCCTCATGCCCTACATGAAGCACGATTATTATTTATACTGTGCATGCCCACTGTGCATGCCCACTGTGCACGCCCACTGTGCATGCCCACTGCACACACATTCTCTCATGTCTAGGCCAAAATTGACCAATCACAGCATATTTGTGGGGACTATGATTAAGACAGTATAGTACATCTAAACTGTCGTATCTGGGCACCTCTGCAAAGACAGTGATTGTGTGTGAATGATGGTGAAAGTGTTTCTTTCCTTTTTGGGTCGCCCTGCCTAGGTGGGAGATGCCAGTGTGCTGAGGAAAAAAAATATATACATTATACAAATAACCTATACACAGGAGGAACTTATGAGGATGTTTGAGTCTGACGGACTGTGGCATGCAAAGAGTACGTAACCTTTATTCGGCGCATGTACACACCCTCATTTACAGGCTATCTCCCCCAACCAGCGAACCAGGTGACTGAGAATTGACGATGGGGCCCCGTCGTTCAACTAGTGACCAGGTTCCAGCCAATAAGAAGATGGTTTTGGCAATCGCAGAGGTTATGTGGGTACCACTCTCCTGTCTACCCTTGTCATTCCCATTCTAGAGCTGGTTGAAGCACGGTCTGCTCTCTAGTGGCTTCTATTCTGCCTTGCTTACCGTGGAGTGCACTAATACCTATCACTGTGCATAGTGTATATAGTGTACATATTACTGTTCTAAATTGGTGAAAGATAATATAAGTCAAAACTTTTCTGCTGTGTTTATTTTGCTCCCATTACACTCAGGATAACAGGCCATTTGGACTCCTGGGTTGTAATACGGACCATTAACTAGTTACATCCGGTACTGTGCCATTTTGTTCAGTATACATACATAACAGCCACTCACCTCAAAAATGCACATACATGGGAGACAGAGTTTAATGACCTTCCATAATGCAACCTTCCCTCACAGTGACTTGGACCTGCCTCTCATGGGCCAGTAAGCCTGCTGCAGTGTTCCTTCTTTCTTACATGTTTGTTTTACAAGACTTTTAAAAAATTGGTAGAATATGAATGTAATAACTGATTCAAAAGACTAAAGAATATTAGATAGGAGTAAGTGGAGGTGAGTAGTTTCTATGACTTGATGTGCTGTTGGAGTGTGAGCAAGGTAACATTTATGAAGAGATTCAGGGAAACCCATCAGTTGGAGTTGAGTCCAGGAGGTAAGGAAAAGAGTGCCTACACTCTGAAGAAGGGGTGGGGATACAGCAGTTTGAAGGGAGGCCTCTTAGCTGCAATATCAGCATGCTTCTGGCAAGACAGTGATGGAGCGAGTCATGGTCAAAGTGCTTCTTCTACTCAATTCTCAATTAAATTTAAGTAAAATTAACTGTAGAAAAAATTCCAATAAAACTGTGAATCACTTGATACTAAATCTGAATAATATTGTAAAAATACCAGAGATTTTTCTTAAGAACCCAATCCACCATGAACCTGGTCCACCATTAACTTGGTCCACCATGAACCTGGTCCACCATTAACCTGGTCCACCATGAACCTGGTCCACCATTAACCTGGTCCACCATGAACCTGGTCCATTAACCTAGTCCACCATGAACCTGGTCCACCATTAACCTGGTCCACCATGAACCCGGTCCACCATGAACCCGGTCCACCATGAACCCAGTCCACCATGAACCCAGTCCACCATGAACCCAGTCCACCATGAACCCAGTTCACCACGAACCCAGTCCACCATGAACCCGGTCCACCATGAACCCGGTCCACCATGAACCCGGTCCACCATGAACCCAGTCCACCATGAACCCGGTCCACCATGAACCCGGTCCACCATGAACCCGGTCAACCATGAACCTGGTCCACCATGAACCTGGTCCACCATGAACCTGGTCCACCATGAACCTGATCCACCATGAACCTGATCCACCATGAACCCAGCCCACCATGAATTTGATCCACCATGAACCTGATCCACCACAAACCTGATTCACCATGAACCCAGCCCACCATGAACCCAGTCCACCATGAACCCAGTCCACCTTGAACCTGATCCACCATGAACCTGGTCCACCATGAACCTGATCCACCATGAACCTGATCTACCATGAACCTGGTCCACCATGAACCTGATCCACCATGAACCTGGTCCACCATGAACCTGATCCACCATGAACCCAGTCCACCATGAACCTGATCTACCATGAACCCGGTCCACCATGAACCCGATCCACCATGAACCTGATCCACCATGAACCCAGCCCACCATGAACCTGGTCCACCATGAACCCGGTCCACCATGAACCTGGTCCACCATGAACCTGGTCCACCATGAACCTGGTCCACCATGAACCTGATCCACCATGAACCTGATCCACCATGAACCCAGCCCACCATGAACCTGATCCACCATGAACCTGATTCACCATGAACCCAGCCCACCATGAACCCAGTCCACCATGAACCCAGTCCACCATGAACCTGATCCACCATGAACCCGGTCCACCATGAACCTGATCCACCATGAACCTGATCAACCATGAACCTGGTCCACCATGAACCTGATCCACCATGAACCTGGTCCACCAAGAACCTGATCCACCATGAACCTGGTCCACCATGAACCTGGTCCACCATGAACCCAGTCCACCATGAACCTGATCTACCATGAACCCAGTCCACCATGAACCCAGTCCACCATGAACCCGATCCACCATGAACCTGATCCACCATGAACCCAGCCCACCATGAACCCAGCCCACCATGAACCCAGTTCACCATGAACCTGATCCACCATGAACCCAGTCCACCATGAACCTTATCCACTATGAACCCGGTCCACCACGAACCTGATCCACCATGAACCCGATCCACCATGAACCTGGTCCACCATGAACCCGGTCCACCATGAACCTGGTCCACCATGAACCTGGTCCACCATGAACCCAGTCCACCATGAATCCAGTCCACCATGAACCCGGTCCACCATGAACCCAATCCACCATGAACCTGGTCCACCATGAACCCAGCCCACCATGAACCCAGTCCACCATGAACCCAGTCCACCATGAACCCAGTTCACCATGAACATGGTCCACCATGAACACGGTCCACCATGAACCCAGTCCACCATGAACCTGATTCACCATGAACCTGATCCACCATGAACCTGATCCATTATGAATCTGGTCCACCATGAACCCAGTCCACCATGAACCTTATCCACCATGAACCCAGCCCACTATGAACATGGCCCACCATGAACCCTGTCCACCATAAACCCAGCCCACCATAAACCCAGCCCACCATGAACCCTGCCCACCATGAACATGGTCCACCATGAACAAGGTCCACCATAAACCCAGCCCACCATGAACCCTGTCCACCGTGAACCCAGCCCACAATGAACCCTGTCCACTGTGAACCCAGCCCACCATGAACATGGTCCACCATCAACCTGGTCCACCATAACCCCAGCCCACCATGAACCCAGCCCACCATGAACCCAGCCCACCATGAACCCAGCCCACCATGAACCTGGCCCACCATGAGCCCAGCCCATCATAAACCCAGCCCACCATGAACCCAGCCCACCATGAACCTGGCCCACCATGAACCCAGCCCATGAACCCGGCCCAGCATGAACCCGGCCCAGCATGAACCCGGTCCAGCATGAACCCGGTCCAGCATGAACCCGGCCCAGCATGAACCCGGCCCAGCATGAACCCAGCCCACCATGAGCCCAGCCCACCATGAGCCCAGCCCACCATAACAATTAACATTAACAGAAAGTCTAGAAAAGGTAAACACAAATTAAGAAACTAACAGAGGGAGTTTGTCACAGTTAAATCAGAATTATGAGAACATTTTCCATTATTGACACAGAATGGACAATTTTTTGGGGATATATCAAACACTGTATTAAATCCAAAAAATAATTTATCCAGAGGACTGAAACAATAACAAACAATTCTAGAATTGTCTGTAAAAATAATTGACAATTCAAATTTAAATTCTTCCTGCGTAAGTCATGCATGTCGTAAGAGGCAACTAAATGCTGGCAGCAAGGTGCTAGTAACACCTGTATAAATTACTAAATGCTGGCAGCAAGGTGCTAGTAACACCTGTATAAATTACTAAATGCTGGCAGCAAGGTGCTAGTAACACCTGTATAAATTACTAAATGCTGGCAGCAAGGTGCTAGTAACACCTGTATAAATTACTAAATGCTGGCAGCAAGGTGCTAGCAACACCTTCTGTATAAATTACTAAATGCTGGCAGCAAGGTGCTAGTAACACCTTCTGTATAAATTACTAAATGCTGGAAACAAGGTGCTAGTAACACCTTCTGTATAAATTACTAAATGCTGGCAGCAAGGTGCTAGTAACACCTTCTGTATAAATTACTAAATGCTGGCAGCAAGGTGCTAGTAACATCTTCTGTATAAATTACTAAATGCTGGCAGCAAGGTGCTAGTAACACCTTCTGTATAAATTATTAAATGCTGGAAACAAGGTGCTAGTAACACCTTCTGTATAAATTACTAAATGCTGGCAGCAAGGTGCTAGTAACACCTTCTGTATAAATTATTAAATGCTGGAAACAAGGTGCTAGTAACACCTTCTGTATAAATTACTAAATGCTGGCAGCAAGGTGCTAGTAACACCTTCTGTATAAATTACTAAATGCTGGCAGCAAGGTGCTAGTAACACCTGTATAAATTACTAAATGCTGACAGCAAGGTGCTAGTAACACCTGTATAAATTACTAAATGCTGGCAGCAAGGTGCTAGTAACACCTGTATAAATTACTAAATGCTGACAGCAAGGTGCTAGTAACACCTGTATAAATTACTAAATGCTGACAGCAAGGTGCTAGTAACACCTGTATAAATTACTAAATGCTGGCAGCAAGGTGCTAGTAACACCTGTATAAATTACTAAATGCTGACAGCAAGGTGCTAGTAACACCTGTATAAATTACTAATGCTGACAGCAAGGTGCTAGTAACACCTGTATAAATTACTAAATGCTGACAGCAAGGTGCTAGTAACACCTGTATAAATTACTAAATGCTGGCAGCAAGGTGCTAGTAAACCTGTATAAATTACTAAATGCTGACAGCAAGGTGCTAGTAACACCTGTATAAATTACTAAATGCTGGCAGCAAGGTGCTAGTAACACCTGTATAAATTACTAAATGCTGGCAGCAAGGTGCTAGTAACACCTGTATAAATTACTAAATGCTGGAAACAAGGTGCTAGTAACATCTTCTGTATAAATTATTAAATGCTGGCAGCAAGGTGCTAGTAACACCTGTATAAATTACTAAATGCTGACAGCAAGGTGCTAGTAACACCTGTATAAATTACTAAATGCTGACAGCAAGGTGCTAGTAACACCTGTATAAATTACTAAATGCTGGCAGCAAGGTGCTAGTAACACCTGTATAAATTACTAAATGCTGGCAGCAAGGTGCTAGTAACACCTGTATAAATTACTAAATGCTGGAAACAAGGTGCTAGTAACATCTTCTGTATAAATTATTAAATGCTGGCAGCAAGGTGCTAGTAACACCTGTATAAATTACTAAATGCTGACAGCAAGGTGCTAGTAACACCTGTATAAATTACTAAATGCTGACAGCAAGGTGCTAGTAACACTGTATAAATTACTAAATGCTGGCAGCAAGGTGCTAGTAACACCTGTATAAATTACTAAATGCTGGCAGCAAGGTGCTAGTAACACCTGTATAAATTACTAAATGCTGGAAACAAGGTGCTAGTAACATCTTCTGTATAAATTATTAAATGCTGGCAGCAAGGTGCTAGTAACACCTGTATAAATTACTAAATGCTGACAGCAAGGTGCTAGTAACACCTGTATAAATTACTAAATGCTGACAGCAAGGTGCTAGTAACACCTGTATAAATTACTAAATGCTGGCAGCAAGGTGCTAGTAACACCTGTATAAATTACTAAATGCTGACAGCAAGGTGCTAGTAACACCTGTATAAATTACTAAATGCTGGCAGCAAGGTGCTAGTAACACCTTCTGTATAAATTACTAAATGCTGGAAACAAGGTGCTAGTAACACCTTCTGTATAAATTATTAAATGCTGGAAACAAGGTGCTAGTAACACCTTCTGTATAAATTACTAAATGTAAAAAGAAGAAAAATTTAGTTTCTTCGGGTACCGCTGCCTTGCTGGACGACAGCTAGTGTGCTAAACAAAGAAAAAAAAATTATTTAATGGACAAAGTTAAATTCAAAACAAATTTCCCCAGCAGATCACAAGAATAACAGAAAATTCTGGACTGAACAGACTCTGTCCAGTTTCAAAATATTGTTCAGTCAGAGATTTTGCCTGTTAAATTCCAAATCCATTGAATGTGTTTTGCTCTACTTAAAAATACTGAAATCATGCATAAGCACTCAGCATGAAATGCCATCTACATTATTTTACAAATAGGAAGCACATCTGTCACTCAGCAGACGGAGGATCGAGCCTTCACATCTTATGCCGAATAAGTTTAGCACTTAACATGAATTCAACACACATCTCTGCCAGTGCCTTATAAATGTACGAAAGTTTACATACTTACCAGGATGTCTTACATATGGCATACTGGGTGGCCCCGGTGGTCCTGGTGGCCCTGGTGGTCCCTGTGGACCAGGTAGACCAGGAGGACCAGTAAGAGGTCCAGTTGGGGACCTAGTGGGAGGACCAGTAGGGGGTCCAGTTGGTGGACCTGGGGGTCCAGGAAGACCAGGTCCAGGTGGTTGATTGGGGTCTTGTTCAGGCCTACGTCCCTGAACCAACGCAGAAACATGACTAGGAACTGGTTGATTGCGAGCTATGCAACGATAGGCCATTATTTGTGCTCGCAACTGATGCATCTGTGAGGGGTTTAGCAAGCTTGCTCTTTGTGCGTCTAGGCCAGCTGCTGCTGGAGGGCCATAGCCCGGCCCACCAGCAGGTCCTGATGGACCACTACCTCCACTTGTTGATCCACTTCCTGGAGGTGGTGGCCCCATATTCATATTATATTTAGCCTTCATGTTAACTAAATCAGCATAACGGGGATCATTCTGCAAGCCCTTGTCCTCCATTGTGTTGATGGCTTTCTGTAGTGCATTAAGGTTCTCCTGCTGGAAGCCTCCACCACTTGAGCCATTCAGTCCTCCACCACTTGATGGAGGTAGACCTCCAGGAGGGTCACCAGTGCCACCTTGGGCAGGGTAGTGACTGCCTGACGATCCCTGTTGTGATTGCTGAGGTGAAGAATAGTTGTTGGGATACGAAGCAGGGGACTGTGGCCAGCCATGGCTGCCTTGTGTACCCTGGGGGTAGGAAAGATGAGGGCCAGGTGACATGCCAGGGCCACCCGGTGGCCCTTGCTGAGTAGGTGCAGCACCAGGACCTGGGGACATTACTGGTGGGCCCATAGGTGAAGGTGCCTGAGGTGGACCCATTGGTGATAGAGCCTGAGGTGGACCTACAGCTGGGGAGGTAGCCTGGGGTGGTGGCATAGGAGATAGAGACTGCTGGGGAGGACCCATCGGGGATGCTGCACTCCCAGGATTGGGACTTTGAGCTGACATCTTGCTGAAATACAGAGAGAGAATTAAATTCATGTAATATGCACTGATAAATTAAAGCTTCATTTTTTTTTTTTTTTTTTTTTTTCAACAAGTCGGCCGTCTCCCACCGAGGCAGGGTGACCCAAAAAAGAAAGAAAATCCCCAAAAAGAAAATACTTTCATCATCATTCAACACTTTCACCACACTCGCACATTATCACTGTTTTTGCAGAGGTGCTCAGAATACAACAGTCTAGAAGCATAAACATATAAAGATACACAACATATCCCTCCAAACTGCCAATATCCCAAACCCCTCCTTTAAAGTGCAGGCATTGTACTTCCCATTTCCAGGACTCAAGTCCGACTATATGAAAATAACCGGTTTCCCTGAATTATTTTTTTTTATTTTTTATTATCACACCGGCCGATTCCCACCAAGGCAGGGTGGCCCGAAAAAGAAAAACTTTCACCATCATTCACTCCATCACTGTCTTGCCAGAAGGGTGCTTTACACTACAGTTTTTAAACTGCAACATTAACACCCCTCCTTCAGAGTGCAGGCACTGTACTTCCCTGAATCCCTTCACTAAATATTACCCTGCTCACACTCCAACAGATCGTCAGGTCCCAAGTACCATTCGTCTCCATTCACTCCTATCTAACACGCTCACGCACGCTTGCTGGAAGTCCAAGCCCCTTACCCACAAAACCTCCTTTACCCCCTCTCTCCAACCCTTTCGAGGACGACCCCTACCCCGCCTTCCTTCCCCTATAGATTTATATGCTTTCCATGTCATTCTACTGTGATCCATTCTCTCTAAATGACCAAACCACCTCAACAACCCCTCTTCTGCCCTCTGACTAATACTTTTATTAACTCCACACCTTCTCCTAATTTCCACACTCCGAATTTTCTGCATAATATTTACACCACACATTGCCCTTAAACAGGACATCTCCGCTGCCTCCAACCGTCTCCTCGCTGCTGCATTTACCACCCAAGCTTCACACCCATATAAGAGTGTTGGTACTACTATACTTTCATACATTCCCTTCTTTTCCTCCATAGATAAACGTTTTTTGACTTTCCCCATATACCTCAACGCAAACCCCTCACCTTTTTTCCCTCATCAATTCTATGATTAAACCTCATCCTTCATAAATCCATCCGCCGACACGTCAACTCCCAAGTATCTGAAAACATTCACTTCTTCCATACTCCTCCTCCCCAAATTTGATATCCAATTTTTCTTTATCTAAATCATTTGACCCCCTCATCACCTTACTCTTTCTTGTTCACTTTCAAACTTTCTCCCTTTTTCACACTTTCCCAAACTCATCCACTAACCTTTGCAATTTTTCTTTAGAATCCCCCAAAAGCACAGTATCATCAGCAAAAAGTAACTGTGTCAATTCCCATTTTGAATTTGATTCCCAAAATTTTAAAAATCCCACCCCTCTCCCAAACACCCTAGCATTTACTTCCTTTACAACCCCTCTATAAATATATTAAAAAAACCATGGTGACATTACACATCCCTGTCTAAGACCTACTTTTACCGGGAAGTAGTCTCCCTTCTTCTACACACCCTAACCCTGAGCCTCACTTTTCCTCATAAAAACTCTTTACAGCATTTAATAACTTACCACCTATTCCATATACTTGCAACATCTGCCACATTGCTCCTCTATCCACTCTATCATATGCCTTTTCTAAATCCATAAATGCAATAAAAACTTCCCTATCTTTATCTAAATACTGTTCACATATATGCTTCAATGTAAACACCTGATCTACACATCCCCTACCCACTCTAAAACCTCCTTGCTCATCCGCAATCCTACATTCTGTCTTACCTCTAATTCTTTCAATTATAACCCTACCGTACACTTTTCCTGGTATACTCAGTAAGCTTCATATTTGTTTAAAATAAAAAAAAATAGACATTAGTTATAGGTGCTGAAAGTCATCCTGTATATAGCAGGATGTAACTCACAAATTATAACATGACTGCAAATAAACCACGGAATGGATGGGGTTTGAACCACTGGTCTGGAGTTTTACAACTTACTTGCCAAGGGTTCCAACCCCACCTGTTCCATGGTTAGCAGGACATGAAATTACAATAGCATGGTGACTAAGAGAAAGAGTTAGAGAAAACAAGAAAAAAAAGGCACCAGTTTAATAGAACACTTAAGTATTTTGATCATCTCAACAATAACACAAGAGGGCATCAAACAAGTCACAGGTTATATATTATCTAACACAGCTCTCAGCAACATTATATCTTAGAATCTATCTTTGTAATCTTTCACATGTTAAGTAAAAGGACAAAATGCAACTATGTGACATTTTATTGTAGCGATGTTTCACTCTCCAGGAGCTTTATCAAGCTGTAATGGCTTGACAAAACTCCTGGAGAGGGAAACTTTTTAATATGTTCCTTAGTTATTAAGCTCTCTTTACTGTTTTTCATGAAGATGTTTTGCATCTATGGATCTAAGAATGCAATATGTTAGCCATGGGCTACCTAGTCTCTCTCTCTAGTGATTTGCTAAGTACGTATAGGACAATGCTGTACAGGCTTTGTATTTTTTGTATACCTGGAGAGTGTTTTGGGGGTCAACGCCCCCACAGCCCAGTCTGACACCAGGCCAAGTGGTGGATCAGGGTTTGATCAACCAGGCTGTTACTGCCGGCTGCACGTAAACTGACATAGGAACCACAGCTCGGATGGTCAGGTACTGACTTTAGGTGAATGTTCAGTGCCTTCTCGAAGACAGCCAGGGGTCTATTGGTACCTGGGTGTTAGTAGACTGGTGCATTACCCGGAGTTTACCTGGAGAGAGTTCCCGGGGGTCAATGCCCCCGCTGCCCAGTCTGTGACCAGGCCTCCTGGTGGATCAGAGCCTGATCAACCAGGCTGTTACTGCTGGCTGCACGCAAACCAACGTACGAGCCACAGCCCGGCTGGTCAGGCACCGACTTTAGGTGCTTGTCCAGTGCCAGCTTGAAGACTGCCAGGGGTCTGTTGGTAATCCCCCTTATGAATGCTGGGAAGCAGTTGAACAGTCTCGGGCCCCTGACACTTACTGTATGGTCTCTTAACGTGCTAGTGACACCCCTGCTTTTCATTGGGGGGATGTTGCATCGTCTGCCAAGTCTTTTGCTTTCGTAGCGAGTGATTTTCGTGTGCAAGTTCGGTACTAGTCCCTCTAGGATTTTCCAGGTGTATACAATCATGTATCTCTCCCGCCTGCATTCCAGGGAATACAGGTTCAGGAACTGCAAGCGCTCCCAGTAATTGAGGTGTTTTATCTCCGTTATGCGTGCCGTGAAGGTTCTCTGTACATTTTCTAGGTCAGCAATTTCACCTGCCTTGAAAGGTGCTGTTAGTGTGCAGCAATATTCCAGCCTAGATAGAACAAGTGACCTGAAGAGTGTCATCATGGGCTTTGCATCCCTAGTTTTGAAGGTTCTCATTATCCATCCTGTCATTTTTCTAGCAGATGCGATTGATACAATGTTATGGTCCTTGAAGGTGAGATCCTCCGACATGATCACTCCCAGGTCTTTGACGTTGGTGTTTCGCTCTATTTTGTGGCCAGAATTTGTTTTGTACTCTGATGAAGTTTTAATTTCCTCGTGTTTACCATATCTGAGTAATTGAAATTTCTCATTGTTGAATTTCATATTGTTTTCTGCAGCCCACTGAAAGATTTGGTTGATGTCCGCCTGGAGCCTTGCAGTGTCTGCAATGGAAGACACTCATGCAAATTCGGGTGTCATCTGCAAAGGAAGACACGGTGCTGTGGCTGACATCCTTGTCTATGTCAGATATGAGGATGAGAAACAAGATGGGAGCGAGTACTGTGCCTTGTAGAACAGAGCTTTTCACCGTAGCTGCCTCGGACTTTACTCTGTTGACTACTACTCTTTGTGTTCTGTTTGTGAGGAAATTATAGATCCATCTACCAACTTTTCCTGTTATTCCTTTAGCACGCATTTTGTGCGCTATTACGCCATGGTCACACTTGTCTAAGGCTTTTGCAAAGTCTGTATATATTACATCTGCATTCTTTTTGTCTTCTAGTGCAACTAGGACCTTGTCGTAGTGATCCAATAGTTGAGACAGACAGGAGCGACCTGTTCTAAACCCATATTGCCCTGGGTTGTGTAATTGATGGGTTTCTAGATGGGTGGTGATCTTGCTTCTTAGGACCCTTTCAAAGATTTTTATGATATGGGATGTTAGTGCTATCGGTCTCTAGTTCTTTGCTGTTGCTTTACTGCCCTCTTTGTGGAGTGAGGCTGCCTGTTGTTTTTAGTAACTGTGGGACGACCCCCGTGTCCATGCTCCCTCTCCATAGGATGGTGTAGGTGGCATCCTGGGGGACAATATCGAAGGATCACATTGAAAATAAGACAGTCTTTGATGAAGCACTGACTTTCTTGGGTTATCCTTGATGGATAACCCTCCCTATCCTGGGTTAACCTGGAAGGATAACCCTCTGGGGTTAAAAATCCCAATAAAATCTAATATTATTTTATCCTGCAGTTAGCACCAACTGTAATGGTTAAGTAAGTTATCCCAATGGAAACAAGTCATTTTGAGTTTCTTTTTGGGGTCATCCTGGACGGTAATTACACGTTACTATGTGTGATAATTTACACGTTAGTATATGTGATAATCTACATGTTACTATGTGTGATAATTTACACGTTAGTATATGTGATAATCTACATGTTACTATGTGTGATAATTTACACATGTTAGTATATGTGATAATCTACATGTTACTATGTGTGATAATTTACACATGTTAGTATATGTGATAATCTACATGTTACTATGTGTGATAATTTACACGTTACTATGTGTGATAATCTACATGTTACTATGTGTGATAATTTACACGTTAGTATATGTGATAATCTACATGTTACTATGTGTGATAATTTACACGTTACTATGTGTGATAATTTGTTTAAGTGTATTTATGTAATTAAATAAACTTACTGACTTTTGCTTACTTAACTATATGTACTTGTACTTAGTTGACTATACTGTACTTTACTATGCTTTACTGTACTTTACTGTGCTTTACTGTGCTGTACTTTACTGTACTTTACTATGCTTTACTGTACTTTACTGTGCTTTACTGTGCTGTACTTTACTGTGCTTTACTGTACTGTACTTGACTGTGCTTTACTGTGCTTTACTGTACTTTACTGTGCTTTACTGTACTTTACTGTACTTTACTGTGCTTTACTGTACTTTACTGTACTTTACTGTGCTTTACTGTACTGTACTTTACTGTGCTTTACTGTACTTTACTGTGCTTTACTGTACTGTGCTTTACTGTACTTTACTGCACTTTACTGTGCTTTACTGTACTGTACTTTACTGTGCTTTACTGTACTGTACTTTACTGTGCTTTACTGTACTTTACTGTACTGTACTTTACTGTGCTTTACTGTGCTTTACTTTACTGTGCTTTACTGTGCTTTACTGTACTTTACTATGCTTTACTGTGCTTTACTGTGCTTTACTGTACTGTACTTGACTGTGCTTTACTGTGCTTTACTGTACTTTACTGTGCTTTACTGTACTTTACTGTGCTTTACTGTACTGTACTTGACTGTGCTTTACTGTGCTTTACTGTACTTTACTGTGCTTTAGTGTACTGTACTTGACTGTGCTTTACTGTACTTTACTGTACTTTAGTGTGCTTTAGTGTGCTTTACTGTACTTTACTGTACTTTACTGTACTTTAGTGTGCTTTACTGTGCTTTACTGTACTTTACTGTACTTTACTGTACTTTAGTGTGCTTTACTGTGCTTTACTGTGCTTTACTGTACTGTGCTTTACTGTACTTTACTGTACTGTGCTTACTGTACTTTACTGTACTTTAATGTACTTTACTGTGCTTTACTGTACTTAACTGTACTTAACTGTACTTAACTGTACTTTATTGTACTTTATTGTACTTTACTGTACTGTACTTTAATGTACTTTACTGTGCTATAATATACCTTACTGTGCTTTAATGTTCTTTACTGTACTTTAATGTTCTTTACTGTACTTTAATGTTCTTTACTGTACTTTAATGTTCTTTACTGTACTTTAATGTTCTTTACTGTACTTTTATGTACTTTAATGTACTTTAATTAACTATAATGTACTTTACTGTACTTTATCATTATCATCGGCGACTTACCCCCATCAGCGACTCACCACCACTGGCGACTTACCATCATCGGCGACTCACCATTATCGGCGACTCACCATTATCGGCGACTCACCACCATAGGCGACTTACCATCATTGGCAACTTACCATCATCGGTGACTCGCCATCACTGGCGACTCGCCATCATCGGCGACTCATCACCATCGGCGACTCACCCCCATAGGCGACTCACCACCATAGGCGACTTACCATCATCGGCGACTTACCGTCATCAGCAACTTACTACCATCGGCGACTTACCATCATCGGCGACTTACCATCATCGGCCACTTACCACCATCGGCGACTTACCATCATCGGCGACTTACCATCATCGGCGACTTACTGTCATCAGCGACTTACTACCATCGGCGACTTACCATCATCGGCGACTTACCACCATCGGCGACTTACCATCATCGGCCACTTACCACAATCGGCGACTTACCACCATCGGCGACTTACCACCATCGGCAACTTACCACCATCGGCCACTTACCACCATCGGCGACTTACCATCATCGGTGACTTACCATCATCAGCGACTTACCACCATCGGCGACTTACCACCATCGGCGACTTACCAACATCGGCCACTTACCACCATCGGCGACTTACCACCATCGGCGACTTACCACCATCGGCGACCTACCATCATCGGCGACTTACCACCATCGGCGACTTACCACCATCGGCGACTTACCACCATCGGCGACTTACCATCGGCGACTTACCAACATCGGCCACTTACCACCATCGGCGACTTACCACCATCGGCGACTTACCACCATCGGCGACTTACCATCATCGGCGACTTACCACCATCGGCGACTTACCACCATCGGCGACTTCACTTCTCAGTCTCTCTAAATCTAGCTTAAAACATAAAAAACATCAACATTAACATTTTAAACTTAAAGTTAACAACTTTCCATAAAAAACTTAACACACACAAACATTGCAGAGTCAATATAACATTGCAAACTCAACATAAATCAACAAAAATAACACATACAACCCAAGGTCTCTAAGCTTCACAAAGACATTTGGACATTTTTAGGCCTATATGAGGCTTTTTCTGGTTTAAAAATGCTCTATATAAATCCAGATATACCTCAAAGTTCGGTTTATCCGGTGGGCATCAGGGTAGCTTCGTTTAATAGGAGTAACTGGTTAAACTGGCGTCTTTTTGGGTGGTTACTGAACGTTGTTGTTGTGCTGCTGCTGGAGTGATGGGTTCACCCGGCTGCCGGTCCGTGGGTTCACCCGGCTGCCGGTCCGTGGGTTCACCCGGCTGCCGGTCCGTGGGTTCACCCGGCTGCCGGTCCGTGGGTTCACCCGGCTGCCGGTCCGTGGGTTCACCCGGCTGCCGGTCCGTGGGTTCACCCGGCTGCCGGTCCGTGGGTTCACCCGGCTGCCGGTCCGTGGGTTCACCCGGCTGCCGGTCCGTGGGTTCACCCGGCTGCCGGTCCGTGGGTTCACCCGGCTGCCGGTCCGTGGGTTCACCCGGCTGCCGGTCCGTGGGTTCACCCGGCTGCCGGTCCGTGGGTTCACCCGGCTGCCGGTCCGTGGGTTCACCCGGCTGCAGGTCCGTGGGTTCACCCTGCTGCCGGTCCGTGGGTTCACCCTGCTGCCGGTCCGTGGGTTCACCCTGCTGCCGGTCCGTGGGTTCACCCGGCTGCAGGTCCGTGGGTTCACCCTGCTGCCGGTCCGTGGGTTCACCCGGCTGCCGGTCCGTGGGTTCACCCTGCTGCCGGTCCGTGGGTTCACCCGGCTGCCGGTCCGTGGATTCACCCGGCTGCCGGTCCGTGGGTTCACCCAGCTGCCGGTCCGTGGGTTCACCCGGCTGCCGGTCCGTGGGTTCACCCGGCTGCCGGTCTGTGGGTTCACCCGGCTGCCGGTCCATGGGTTCACCCGGCTGCCGGTCCGTGGGTTCACCCGGCTGCCGGTCCGTGGGTTCACCCGGCTGCCGATCCGTGGGTTCACCCGGCTGCCGGTCCGTGGGCTCACCCGGCTGGTTAACACAAGGACCAGTGGCTGATGGGGAGACTTCAGGATCTAAATGTTTATATACGGTCAACATATATAAGATGGGTATGGGAGGCACAATATATATATCAGATCATTTAGTTGTAGTTTGTAAATTGTGAGTTCATTACCTTTGTTGTAGCTACAGTGAGAGTAAAAGGCAGATTGGATGCAATGAGAATGGAAGCAGCCGGGTCGGCTTTGGCTCCCTATCCAGGGAATCTCTCAGAGTAATGTCTGCCATGGGAGGAAGTACAAGTACCTCCTCGTCTTCTAGGACCAGCTGTCCCCAGGCCTAGCCCCATTTCCCTGCCCCCACAGGGCTCGGAGGGAGAAGCTAGGCACCTTGGGCTGCCACAAACCCTGCTCACACTGGGCTCGAAGGGTGTGGCAGCTGCAAGTACCATTTCAGTTTGTATTTTTATATTATAAGTCCTACTCTAAGATTGTTTTCATATCTTAGTGACTATATTGTGTGTGCAATTAGTGTATATTTCAATTATATTATTGTTCAAGGCCCTTAACTATCTTTTGCTAACTAGTACCAACTACCTCATATATATTTTTTTTTTACTTTTTTTTATTATTTTGCTACCTTAACTTGTATATTTTATCTTGTCAATTTAAATCTAGTTATACTCTAATTCTTGTAAACAACTTATATAAGACCTTAGTGCAATTACAATTGAGAGTCTTGTGTCTTTTTTATATTATTAGATTAAACTCAGTTGTACTATAGTCAGTACCAAATTCATTATATTAGACCATAGTGTAGTTACTAGTGAGAGTCTGGTGCTATTTTTAATTTGTATTTTTATATTATTAGATTAAATCTAGTTGTACTATAGCTCATTCTAGCTCAATACATAGACTCCACAAAAGTCATTATATTAGACCTCAGTGCAATTACAAGTGAGAGTCTTGTGCTATTTTTAATTTGTATTTTTATATTATTAGTTTATACCTAGTTGTACTTTAGCTCATTCCACCACAACACATAGACAACATCAACTCCATTATGTGTAGTAGTGACTATACTCTACATGACCAAAATGCTATAGCTATACTCTTGTCCAAACTTCCTACCACTACAGATATCAGTACTAGAACTCAACCCACAACTCAGGATATAAATAACCATAATTTAAACCTAGAAGATGATTGATCACGTTGACCCTGATCTAAACCTCCATAATCTGACACACAATCAAAACCTATTGGAAAGTAACTGCCTTTACTACACAGCATCACAAGCCACCACTATCCTAAACAATGCTAAAAGTCTATCAGTACTTAACTACAACATCAGGTCCTTAAGCAAACACTATGATGACCTCCTAGCACTCCTTGAATCACTAAAGACACCCTTCTCCTGCATTATTCTTACTGAGACCTGGCTTAAGCAGGACACAATAGATATCTACCCTCTACCAGGATACACAGCAATTCACAACTGCAGACCATACCAAGTTGGGGGTGGTGTGGAAATTTTTTTGATTTTCCGAAGCTATAGCGCCTAATAGGTGTTTAATGTGTCGATATGAGTCAAAAATGTATTTGACAATAGGACAGAACCAAGAGTTCCCTTTGCGCATGCGCGGATGTGCGGGGATAGAGGTCGACTTGGGGCATGGGGGAGGCGGCAGTGTTTTGAATGTAGTGAGGAGGCTGGGAAAGCATGGAACCAGGAAATTGGCATTCACGGCGGCCTAAGGATTAATATAGGCCTCATTTCATAATAGGAAGTGTCGTAACTGTTCCTGGTGGAGAGTGAGGGAACGTGATTTATGGGACCACCGTAATAAAGTGGTAAAATGAGTGAATAAGGGTAGGACCGGGTGACTGGCGCATCACCATGGACTGTGTCCCGGGGAAAATTACCCTTGGTTTAATCATCACTCATCGGTCTCAGATCTTAATGGAGTGATCTCTAATGTGTATAATAATTATGAGACATTAAATCGTCTTGTGAACTGTAATGTAATTAATGATAATAACGCTAAGTTAAGAGAATGCGTGAAGTGAAATAAGTCGCCTTGCTCCGAGTGAACACGTTAGACCTCGTTGTTCCCGAGACGAGGAAAATGAAGTTCATTGAGTCACGACTTCTAAACCGGGAAAACCAATGGATGCCTCGTCCTGCTGGAATGAGAACCGTGTCGGTGTAGCAGGACATCGAAATGAGATGGTGAATGGAGGAAATAAGGAGTATCAATCACCCACAGTTAAGTAACCCTTCTAGTTATAACAGACTGATACTGGCCAGTTAGGTGTGTTGTAACTGGATAGGTTATGAGTGATCCAGCTACATCAAGTGACCACCAGAGAATATCTGGTAAGTGGAGAGATTATGTACAAGTGTTTTTCCTTGATGGATATATCCATGTGTAACCTACCCCCCCCCCCTTCATTCAGTTACACTAATATAATCTATACAGTCCACAATTAATTAGTAGCGCCGTACTTGTGGGTGCTATCCTAACCATACTGGTCTCGGATAGATATGGATAAGATTGTGAGGTCGAAGGAACCACCTGCCGTGACCAGGGGTGGTTAAGTTTTCTCACATGTCTACACGGGGTGACTACGGTAAACAATATGGTTGTCTCCCAATGAGATTACTTGTATGTATATAATGTTGAGGTACATACAGGTAATCACCCCTAGAAAATTTTCCACAGGTGGTATTGCAATCTATTACTCTAACCAATTATCTTGTATTAGCACCACTTGCCTTAGTGATGAATGCGGAGAATACATTTTTGCTAATTTTGCTGTAAAAAACCTTAAGACGCCTATAACAATCGGTGCCATTTACTGGATACCCCACACAAACATCCCAAATTTCAGTGAGAAACTAAAGGCACTAATAACAAACAGACAAATGAATAAGTACCACCTTCTCTTAGCTGGAGACTTCAACATCAACCTTGGCCTACTAGATGATCAGCCTGTAACTGATTTCATCAATAATATGAACAACACACTTCTCATACCAACAATAACTAAACCAACCAGGCTCACTGAAACGAGTGTAACCATAATAGACCACATATGGACCAATATACTAGCCCCCCTTAAATCAGGGATAATCACAGATAGCACTACAGACCACTACCCTACCTTCCTCTTGACAAACATTAGTAAACCGCCACTTGAATACAACAAAGTTTCATTTAGACTCCATAACGAGGCCTCAATAAGGAAGTTCGCAGCTGACCTAGAGACTGTTGACTGACTGGCCTACAGAATTCTCCAAGGCCAATGGTATTGATGACTGGACAGACATTTTTCTTAACAAATTACTTAGACTATACAACAAACATTGTCCTATAAAAACGAAACAGATCACAAACAAACGGCTTGGTTGCCCATGGCTAACCAGCACCATTTTGAAATCCATTGATAAGAAACACCAATATGAAAAGCAATATAGACAGGGCTTAATACACAAAGATATTCTTAAACACTATTCATCAGTTCTCACCAAAGTAATAAAGAAAGCCAAACAACTATACTACTCCAGTAGATTCACAGACACTAGAGGAGATATAAAAAAGACCTGGAAAACACTCTCTCAGATTCTAGGGACCCACAAACTGAAAAAAAACAAGAATATTGCCCTAACTAAACCTAATGAAACACCACTACATCCCACTGACACAGCTAACAAGATAAACGAATTCTTCTCAACCATAGGTTCTAATCTCGCCAATAAAATCCCACGCACCAATGCCCATGCCGGGGACTACCTAGATGGGAATTTCCCAAATTCCTTCTATCTTGCTCCAACTGAGCCCACGGAAGTCACCGAGATTATACACTAATTATGAACTTGATGCAGCGCTAACTAAGGGCAACTCCACGTCGCCTGGTGAGGATGGTATTACTTACAACATACTCAGATTGCTGTGTCGAGTACCAGGTAATCCATTACTTGAATTATATAACATGAGCTATGTAACTGGGGAGCTCCCTCAATCTTGGACCAACAGCCTCATCATTCCAATTCCTAAGCCCAATCAACAAAATGCATTTCGCCCAATATCTCTTACTAGCTGCTTGTGTAAAAATTTGAGAGAATGATTTTTAAATTGCTAGTAAGAATAAAACAATTTTTGTCTCCCGGTTACATGGTTTCATGCAGGGAAAGGGGCGTGTCATTGCATAGCCACCTTTCTCCCCTGAAATGCATTTTCTACATACCCCTTGCCTTAATCCGC